ATGTATTCTAGGTGTTGCTTGTTACCACTTTTTGATAGATTCTCTATAAAGAAACTTTGTTGTTCAATTTTTCTGTTTTGTTGTTCTTGTTTTCGCATTCTTCTTGTTATTTCCATGGAAAAATTCAAGCTTAAATTCAAAGGAATTTTCTCTGTAAGAATGTGATTTTTTATTTGTACATAAAATTTAATGTTACACATTACACTGATAATTGTGGTTGAACATGTTTTTTTGATAGAGCATAGGTTGTCTTCGAAGCCGCGAAAAACCTTCTGTTGGCATTACAATGGATGAGGGAATTCAAGGACAAACTGTGATCAAGAATGATGGATCATCAGATTTTTGGAGTAGTAGTGCTTACGAAAAGGATAATAGCGCGGCTCCATCGATGAGGAGCGTTTCGTCGAGTGGAATAACAATGAATTCTTCTTCTGATCTTCAAAGTAATTCAAGCAGTCAAATTAATCCTCATGAGTTTGTCAATCAAGGTAAGTTTGTTGTCAATTATTAGCTTTATGCACAACTTTATTTTATCTGTTATTATAAACACTTAATTAAATTGTTTACTTTTATGGATATTTAATGTTTATTATAGTGACAACTTTTTTAATGTATATGCAGGGCTTATTGTATGGAACCAGATAAGGCAACAATGGGGTCGAAACAAAAGGCCTGAAAGTAAGACAGAAGATAGAGAACCAAAAATAAGGTAAAAGTAATTTATACATAATAGTATAAACATCTCAATTCAATGAGACAACATATTTTCTTACAATACCTCGTAGACGCAGTGGCACACGTATACCAGTTTTTGAATGATACTGTAATATATTTGAAGCTTATTTTTACATCAAAATTATTTTTGAAGGGTTTGTTAATTTCTTACTGAATGATCATGTTCCACAGTTCAAATGCTGCCTATGAAGATCTACTTGGAAACAATAAGCCTTTTCCCAAACCTATTCCTCTAAGAGTATGATAATTTTCTAAATTTGGTTTTTCAATTATTGAAATTTGAAGTTCTAGTAAGATAAAATGTGGCAACAAGTTAATGATTGATTATAATATTTTTTGATACAGGAAATGATTAACTTTCTTATTGATATTTGGGAGCAAGATGGTCTATATGATTGATTGATCAAGCAAAATATGCAAGTTTGTTTTTTTTTCTTCTGTTTCTAAGGGTTCTTTTCTAATTTTAAATGAAATGATTAGAGTACTAATTGTATAATCATGGTTTAATTAACGAAACAATTTGGAACTGCAATTGTTGTGGCCACGAGTCGCTATATCAATTGCAGAAGAATTATTTTGGGCTTAAGCTGCTGCAAATTTCTGGTTAAAAGTTTAATGTTTATTGTTAGTAATAACACAAGAAATTGTATTTTATTAATGTATATATATAAAGATGATTACATCGTTGGTAATTTAGGAAAGTAAATGAATATATATGAGATAGATAGTATGATATTCATGTCTCTTTCTTAAGATAAATATGATATTTGTATTTGTCTCATATTTATGTAGGTATCGACTAAACGGGTAATACACGTATTTTAAAATACCTACATATACTTTATTGATATTCACATATAACATTTTTTTAAAATTATTTTTTGAAAATAATATTTTTCAATTTCTTATAAAAACACAAAACGTTATTATCATATGAAATTCATGTAATTCACTTTCAATTTAACAATAAAATTTTATATATTAATTTTTATCTTTTTCACCATAATATTATAATATCCAAATATAATATTCATACATTTTATTTTTAATCAAAATAAATGAAAAATATATATTGTGATTGTGAGTTATGGTAGAAGAGTGGAGGCCCCAGGAGTTGAAAAGAAGGCACAAGAAGGGTTGTATTAGTTTGTTGGATGGTAAAATTGTTGAAGTGAGGTCTAAAATATAAAAAAAATAAAAAAAATAAAAAAAACCTAGATATGAAATGGCTAAATAGGATTTGAATGAAATGTGAAAGGTTTTCTTCAAATAAAACTTTAAAAAAGAAAAATGAGAAGACTCATTTTTTTAGAAGATGAAAAAACAGAGTATAATAAATTTGTTGGGTTTTGGGCTCCCATCCTATGTGGAGAAAGGCCTAATATGTGCAAGCCCATGTGTCTCACTTATCTAAGTGGAGAGGGGTCAATTAGGGTAAGGGTGAGAGGTCTGATTTAGGCAAGAGAGGCAAGAGAAAAGTGAGAGAAGAAAAGAGAAACAGATTTTCGCACATACACATAGAAGCTGCACTAGAATCGCGATATCTCCTTCGTTCACCGTCTGATTTGGCCGAAATTTGAACTGCAGGTTCCTGACATCCGGTTCTTCAATCTGAACGGTGTGATCAGTGATCAGAGGTCTGAGGTGAGAGATATTGGCCACGCACAGTAGCAGCCCTTTGGAGTTTTCTGGTTCTTCTTTGTTCTCTATTTCATGTTTTATTGCCTTGTTGTTTTGGCTGATTGTTGAGTACGATTTGTGCTACATTTGAGACTCTCTTGTACCCATACATTGATCATAGTGGAGCTTGTTTACTGGCTTGTGCCCGTGGTTGTTTTACTTCTCACTTTGAGAAGGTTTTTTCCACGTTAAAAATCTTGGTGTCTCTTTGTGTTGTTGATTTTTAGTTGCTGCATTATTTGTTGTTGCTCCTCACAGATTCAACAAGTTGAGAGGGAAATTATATCTGCTGTGTATTGCTCTATTAGAGTTGTTACTGTTAATTGTTGTTGAATTTCCCATCAGAGTGGTATCAGAGCCTGGTTAAGGGGCTGTTTGACTTGTTTGAATGATGGAGGCAAATACAAATAGAATGTTTTCTTTGAATGGCACTAATTATCATTTGTGGAAGGGAAAAATGAAGAATCTGTTATTTATGAAAAATATGCATCTTCCTGTGTTTGCTAGTGAGAAGCTGGAATCCAAAACTGATGAAGAGTGGAATTTTGAACATCAGCAGGTTTGTGGTTTTATTCGGTAATTTGTAGAAGACAATGTTTATAATCACATTGCTAATGAGGAACATGCCAAATCCTTGTGGAAGAAGATTGAATCTTTGTATGCTTCTAAATCAGGGAATAATAAGTTGTATTTGTTGAATTCCTTGATGAATTTGAGGTACAAGGAGGGAACTTCTATTTATGATCACTTGAATGATTTTCAAGGGCTCCTAGATCAATTGTCAGGTATGGGTATCAAATTTGATGATGAAATTTTGGGACTATGGCTACTGAATACTCTACCAGATTCTTGGGAAACTTTTTGGGTTTCAATTACAAAGTCAGCTTCTGATGGTGTTGTCTCTTTGCAAAGTGTAAAGGGAAGTGTTATGAATGAGGAGATGAGAAGGAAGGCACAGGGTACTTCATCTCATTCTGAGGTACTTGTCACTGAGAACAGAGGCAGGAGTCCGAAAAAAGAACCGAAAGGGAACCGGCAGAATAGCAGGAGTGCGAGTAGAGACAACAACAGAAGTAAGTCCAAGTCCAGATACAAGAATGTTCAGTGCAATCATTGTCACAAAATGGGGCACATACAGAAAAATTGTTTCATATGGAAAAGGGAGAACAAAAACAATAATAGTAAGCAGAGAGATAAGAATCATGATGATGATGACCGTGTTACTACTGCTACTTGTGATGATCTGATTATTCTTCGTGACCATGATTCAGTTAATCTTGTATCAGATGAGAGCATGTGGGCTGTTGATAGTGCTGCTACACTGCATGTTACACCAAGGAAGGAGTTCTTCACATCTTACACTGCTGGTGACTTTGGAGTGTTGAAGATGGGTAATGATGGTGTGTCCAAGGTAGTTGGTATTGGTGATATTTGTTTGCAGACCAATATGGGAGTGCAATTGTTGTTGAGAGGAGTCAAACATGCTCCAGATGTTCGCTTCAATTTGATTTTTGTGCATATGCTTGATGAAGGTGGTTATGATAATCACTTTGGTTCTGGAAAATGGAAACTCACCAGAGGTAACTTGGTTGTGGCTAGAGGGGAGAAAGATAATAAATTGTATTGGACTAAAGCATTGGTTGCTAAAGACAGTGTGAATGTCATGGATATGGAGGCTTCTTTGTGGCACCGTAGGCTTAGTCATATCAGTGAAAAGGGGCTGAGTTGTTTAGCTAAAAAGGATGTGCTTCAAGGATTGAAGAGTGCAGAGTTGGAGAAATATTCTCATTGCATGGCTGGTAAGCAGACTAGAGTATCCTTCAAGAAGCATCCTCCCTCAAGGAAGTCAGTGTTTCTTGAATTGGTGCATTCTAATGTTTGTGGCCCGTTGAAGGTAAAGTCATTTAGTGGTGCACTTTATTTTGTTACCTTTATTGATGATTGTTCCAGGAAGCTTTGGGTCTATGCTTTGAAGACAAAAGACCAAGTTCTGGAGAAATTCAAAGAGTTCCATGTTATCATGGAGAGACAGTCAGGAAAGAAGCTGAAATGCATTCGTACTGACAATGGTGGTGAGTATTGTGGACCATTTGATGTTTATTGCAAGCAGCACAGTATCAGACATGAAAAGACTCCTCCTAAAACTCCTCAGCTGAATGGTTTAGCGGAGAGGATGAATAGGACTTTGATTGAAAGACTTAGGTGTATGCTTTCTGAAGCAAAGTTGCCTAAACATTTATGGGGTGAAGCATTGTACACGGCAGTGCATGTTATTAATCTGAGTCCTGCGGTTGCTTTGAATACAGAGGTGCCAGACAAAATTTGGTTTGGCAAGAATGTCAAATATGATCATTTGCGTGTCTTCGGTTGCAAAGCATATGTTCATGTTCCAAAGGATGAGAGATCCAAGTTGGATGCGAAGACAAGGCAGTGTATTTTTATCGGGTATGGTCAGGATGAATTTGGCTACAAGCTATATGATCCATTTGGGAAGAAAGCTGTTAGAAGCCGTGATGTGAAGTTCATGAAAGACCAAACCATTGAAGACATTGATAAGATGGAGAAGACTACACCAGAGATTGATAATAGTTTGTCTGATGTTGATCCAGTTCGGAGGCCTGTACATGATCTGGATACTGCTGAAAATAATGTTCAGAATGATGAGCAACATGATGATGTTGGTGACCAGCAGCTTGGAGATGATGTAGATATTCCTGTTGATGATGCTGAAGAGGAACATGAGATGTCACAAGATTAAGATCTTGGTGATGCTCCTGAACCACCTCAAGTTCAACTTTGGAGGTCTAATAGGCAGAGGAAACCATCTACCAGGTATCCTTCTGATGGCTATGTTACCTTGACAGATGAAGGAGAACCTGAGTGTTTTAATGAGGCCATGGAGAGTGATGAAAAGAAGAAGTGGCTGGATGCTATGTAAGATGAAATGAAGTCTTTGCATGATAATCACACTTTTGATTTGGTGAAATTTCCTAAGGGCAAGAAGGCTTTGGAAAATAGGTGGATTTACAGGGTAAAGCAAGAAAGCAATTCTACATCTCCAAGATATAAAGCCAGATTGGTGGTGAAAGGTTTCATACAAAGAAAGGGTGTTGATTTCAATGAGATTTTTTCTCCTGTGGTGAAGATGTCATCCATAAGAACCGTGTTGGGTTTGGCTGCTACTCTTGATCTAGAGGTAGAGCAAATGGATGTAAAAACTGCTTTCCTTCATGGTGATTTGGAGGAAGAGATTTACATGAAGCAACCTGATGGTTTTCTTGTTAAAGGCAAGGAAGACTATGTGTGCAGATTGAGAAAGAGCCTATATGGCTTGAAGCAAGCCCCACGTCAGTGGTACAAGAAGTTTGAGTCTGTTATGTGTGAGCAAGGCTACAAGAAGACTACTTCTGATCACTGTGTTTTTGTTAAAAAGTTTGTTGATGATAATTTCATTATCCTGTTATTGTATGTTGATGACATGTTGAAGAAGCAATTGGGCGAGTCATTTGCCATGAAAGAAATGGGAGCTGCTAATCAGATTCTTGGTATAAGAATCATGCGTGACAGGAACAAGAAAAAACTTTGGCTGTCACAGGAACACTATGTTAAAAGGGTGCTTCAGAGGTTCCAGATGGAAAATGCTAAGGCTGTAAGTACTCCTCTTGCTGCTCATTTCAAATTGAGTGTTAATCAGAGTCCTTCCAATGAAGCTGAAAAAT